ATGAGATATTGAGTGACGTGAATATGGCCATTACAACTAGAGTGATGAAGAGATGTCATACCATTGAGATCAGTGATATTAGGATCACTGTTATGACAAGTAATGAGATATTCAACAGCATTAATGCTACCTGATGAGCAGGAGTACATTAACGGTGTTCGATCAATACAATCAGGCAAGTTAGCATCAAGATTATACTGAGATATGATGTGATTTAACATTGTGGTAGAACCCGATAAAGCAGCTTTGTGTACTGGAGATCGATAATCTCTATTTAGTGAAGCAGTGATATCATACTTTTGCAGTGCTTTAACTAGCAATGTATTACCACTCTGAGATGCTAAATGAAGTAATGACTCACCATATTTTGTAGTAACATTAATGTCGAAGTTAGGGTAGGTGCTAGCTCTTTTGAGAAATGAAGAGAGCAAATTCAACTGTTGTGTTTTTTTGAAAAAATCAATATTGCTTTTCACGTAAGTACCATTAGTAACTTCAATGATTGGTATGCTATGTGGTGAAATAAGCTTACAATATACATTTCCACCATTAATACAACAAATTGTATTAGTTGCATAATGAAGACACAACCAATCATCATCATCAATTGGCAGCATATCATCATCTCGAACATTCATAATAAACTGAACAGTTGCAAAAAGAGCATACTCCAAAGCAGTATGAAGTGGAGTTCTGCCATATCGATCTTTTGAATCAACAGCTAGTTGATACCGAGATAAAAGGTACTTTAAAAGTTCGAAATTATCATTCACAGATTGGCAGGTGTAGTGTAATATATTGGTATCCAAACTACTCTTATAGTTTGGTGAAAAAAGGCCCAACTTTTCAAGCTTGTGGACTAATGCTATCTGCCCACTCATACAGGCTAAAAGTGATAAGGATGCATCTGCAAAATTAACCTGTGACGTGTTGCAATTACGATTAACAAAAAATTCCACCAGGTTAGAATGACCACCAATTGCTGCATACAGTAATGCTGTGACATTGCTTTCATCTGGTTGATCAGGAGGAACGTGACACGTGTCTATCATTTATTGAACTATTGATATGTGACCTTCATAAGATGCCATGTGCAGTATGGATACGCTATTATGATCAGACGCATTAGGATCACAGCCATATTGATGGATGAGTAGTTGAAGGAGCTCAAGGTGCCCACCGTATGAGACAGAGTGCAATGGAGTCCATCCATGA